CGATTCCCCGGACGCTCCTATTTAACAACGGATTTTATCAGATTCAATTATTGGTACGGCAGTTCAGGTAACCGTCAGGCTTATGGCTTATCCTTACAACTACGGTTGCTCACGGTTCCTTCTCGTTAGAACAAATTCTGAGATTGTCGATAGTTATCTGACGAATCGGTTGCCAACACAAAAGATTTACAATAACCGCAATGCTTAGCACCATTACAATCTAATTATATCTATTTTATTCTATTATTTATGCATGATATAATTTTAAAAGTTCTTTTAAAGGTTTTGACAGCTGAATTTAGTAGCTTCCTTCCCCACCAATAATCATTCATAATAGATTTTAAATAGCAATAATTATTTCGTTTGCTGTCAAATGACAAACAATATTGTTCATCTTCACTATTTCTTTACCTACATAAAGTTAAGCTCAAGCAATTTTTGGTGCTATATACAGAGTCTGTATTACAGACATCAAGTCTTATTTGAAGCCAAGTATGCATTGCAAAGCGGTTATCAACAAGTTTCTGTCTAAAATCTGTAGGAATGAAAGATGCTTTCTCGATACGGTGAGAAGTATCCTTGCCTAATTGAGGTCAGCGTGTAGTTACGAAAAAATCAGGACACAGTTACTTGTCAAGTATAAACAAACGTGCCCAAACGTGTCCTCATCATGAAATCGCCAAACCTGTTGACTTACATATTAATTAACGCCCAATTAATTTACAACTCTGACCTCTTCAAGTGGCAGAATTCATTCATTGTGTGCCAGGTTTGTTTAAATTAGCATTATCTATACCCATATTCCTTCCACCAGGATGCTACAGACCTGATCATTTACTCACCCTAATTTTAACTCTCATTCTTAGTTTTATGTTTTCTAAATTTTCGATTACATCTATCATGATTTTATTCTTTTGTATGGTGAGTTACTTCTGCATCTGAGTTTTGACTTTAATGAAACCACTATTAATATAATAATCGTGCTATATATCTTCTCCCACGAGGCATTAGTACATCCCTTCTTAGATGGAGGCAATATCATTGAGTTTTTACTCCCCAATATGCCGCCCATCTGTTCTCATGTTCTAATGCATACACGAATTTGAGACTTATAATCTTTCGTTCCACCCCATTAAAATAGTGAGGTGTCCGCTTTGATCCGGAGTAGTTTCAATTAAATCGCCTCTATTCCTCACTTATTCTTTATTCCAAACACCTTTTTTGCCACACTTACCTCCCCTACCTTATCTATTTCCTAACCTATGTGTTCGTATTTTTTAATTCCTTCCATCTCTTCTCGGACTACAACGTTTGTAACAATACGTACCATAAGATTTCAGTCTAATTATTTTACAAAATTAACGGTCTAAAATTGAAAACTTATATATTATAAATATGTTTTGCTGAATTAAAATATTTATTTTTCGTTTGTAGGATGATTTCCTTCTGCGTCACTACGATAAAGGACCTTGCAAAAATAAACTTGGACATTCCCGAGCTTCTGTGGTGTGGCATAGAGCTCAAGTAATTGGCATTTTTGCTGGTTTCGGTATTTTATTACTTGTCGCATCGCCACTATTGCTGCTGGCAGCACCCTGTATTATATGCTGTAAATGTCGTAGCTGCAGTGGTTCTAAAACCGATGAAGGGGATGGCGAAGTAGAAGAGGGCGCAGTTCTACAAAGGTAACAACGATTAGTACAATTATATGCGTATAAAATCAAACTAAATAATATTATTTATTTCGTTTCAGTTAAAAATCCTTGGAGTTCGTAAATATGTACATAAAATAGTTTAAAGGATACACATTTTTTGCTTCTGAAATCTAAACGCAATCTTGTTTCACACAATCTTTATTTCTAATTATGTATTCATTTAAAATTACGAACAATGCATATTTTATTTTGGTTTTATACATAAAACTACTTTAAATTAATTATAAATTTACAAGTTAATAAATCTGATTTGTTTTACTAGACGCGTAGAGTACACATCCAATCGTGTACGTAACTCTAAAAATGTATTAAAAATTGTACGTATATATTTAAAAAAAATTATTATGTGTTAACTAAATTGTGATATTTACAGTGATTCGATTAACTTTATAATATATAAAATCGATAACTTTAAACAATTAAATTTTTGTTTTATTTTTGTTTCTCATTTGTAAACTATTTAATTGCATTAGTACTAATATATTTTGTACATTTCCGTGTACGTTCAATTTAGTTTTTAATTTAAGAAAAATGTTCACTTAAGAATATTTATTATAAATTTTAAAATTTTAAAATTTTATGCGTTTTAATTAGTTTTAAAGATCTTACTTTGTAATTAAAATTAATTAGTCTAAGATTGATATGCTCTAAAGTATTATCTTTGCGTACATATGTTTGTTAATGAACATAGACGATAACTTAAAGAAGTATGTGCTCTATTACATATGTAAAATATAAATGCTTTTATTTACATAATATATCATCTGAATGTAGTTATAATAACGAAATGAACATGTAATTCATAATGTTAAATACTAAATAAAATATTAAAGTTTATTATTCAAATATATATATATATTAGATTTTGTAGTTAGTCACGCGTATTTACACACTTTATTGTAATTAAATTGTACTATATTTAATAAGTTTAGCTATTTAATATATTTACTACAATTCGACATAGTTTTGTTTTTATTGTAATAAAGTCAAACAATTGAAGAATTCTATAACCGATACGATACTTATTAATCTTGAAATTATATTATTAAAATCTTGTCATTTTAATTGCAGATAATTGAATATTTGAAGTAAGAATATTGTGACAAAATGTATTCTATAAATAAATATACTTAAAATCAAAATAAAAATGTTAAAAACAATATATGATAACATTTTTTAATTTTAATATACAGGAGGGAAGAATTATTTTAAAATTTATTTTTAACAGTAGTGAACAAAATTATAATTTTTAATTGTATATTTTACTGACCAAAGAACATATTGATTTAAAAAATAGTTTCTGTTTTCTTTGACTTTAAAATTAAATTTAAATTACAATTTGTTGTTAAAACTTTCTGTGAGGTTTTTTCCAATGAACAATAAAAAATGTCTGTTGAATAAGAAAAGTACTAGTGTTTATAATTTGGCAGATTCGAAGTTCTAAATCTAACAGCTATAGTCCAGCAATTATAAACGGATTTACAAAACCAATGAATATTTTTAAAGACCGCTAGTCAGCTGATGATGAGTATTAAAGAATACTCGAAACGGTTATATAGTCGTCCAAAGAATTTAATTATAATTACAAATAAAATTTTACTGTTGTGAATTACTTACCATCAAAAATCTTTGTATTTAAACAATAGTTACTTTCGTCATATTAAAAAATTAAAATTTAATCTATTTTATTTTATTTTTTTTGTTGAAATGTAGATTATACTTTTACTCGTATTATCTGCTATTACTTCTGCGATTGTCAAAACACGTATCCAGTATACCCATACGACTTTCATTAAGACGAATGAGATGTGGGATCACGAACTAAGAGATATTATATGGTTATTCAACAGCATTAAAAAGTCCGAATTAGCAGAGGAGATACTTTTAAAGGATAATAGAATAGATGTCATAAGTTTTAATATATCATTATCCCTCTTTTAACTGCTAATTAAATATGTTCTCCACTTAGTATGTTTGTTATCGATTAAGATAAAAAGTAAGTGAAATCATAAAATCTGCAGTGATATAAATAGCATAATACTTTCCAAATTTTATTCATTCTGGTTAATTCGATTTATTGCAATGGGTAGATATATCTTTGCTTACCTCATAATTATCAATTGTTCAGAGTTTTAATACCACATTCTTTACAAAAGACTTCTGTAGATTTATCTAGCAAGTTTGTTTTGGTCTATCGATGAGCACTCCAATACACTGTCAAAAAATTACTTTCTTAAAAGCCTTTGCCTTCTAACTCCTAAGTGTTTTTTCCTTAAGTTTCCTTAAATTCTACAATGAGTATATTCTAAAGTATAAAATATTTTAAGTTATACGTAATTTTTTCATGTAGGTTGTAATACATCAATGACCTGAAAGATCTATTAGTCTATCAGTATGGACTCAATCCCTCTCAATAAGTTCCGCGCACCTAGCATTAATGTATGCACGCCGAGATATACTGTACATGTTGCGAATGACTGACACCTATTGTAAGTTAGCTGCAGAAATTAGAGATAGATGCCTATCTTAACGATATCTACGGAAACAAATACCAATATCACTTAAAAAGCTTCTATATAATCACAAAAGAGTGCTAAACTTCTTATTTTATCATTATCTTGAATGTTCTTATTATCGAAAACGTGGGGATGTTTTAATTATCTTTTTTTTTTTATTAAAAATTTCTATTAACAATTTTTTGATTTTTCTTTTTTTCGTTATTTTCCAAGTACCATTAAAAACCACAGTGTGTTACAAGTATTACTGGGATAATGAATAATACTAAAGCAATCATTAAAAAATTTTTTAATAAAAAAAAAGTTGATGAAGTAATGAAATTAATTTTATTTAATCAGCATGTTTACAAAATTTCTTATTTTTTAATTTCAATTTTGAACTAAATTATTTTTGTTTAAGAAAAATTTTGTTTTATAAATACTTTTACAGTTATTTCAAATGACGAGTAATTTTCACATATTTAAAATAGCTTATAATTTGTTTTTTAGTTGTATTTTATTGAAGAATCTGAAAAATCACATGTGTTTTGTTATGTTTAAATTAATTTCAAAATTTATTATTTTAGATAATTAAATTTTAGATAATATTAAAAATATTCATAAATTGTAATATTTAGTTTTAAAATTACTTTTAAGTTTAATTTTGAATAAATTTAGAAAACATTGAACAGTAACCCAATGTAATATTTACATTTTCATAAATAAATCTTTCCTTTCTACTATTGCGCTCCGAAAAAATTTTTTTTAAATGAATCAATCAGTGTAATCCTCTATTATATTTTCAAAAAGTCGGAATCAAAAAATCCATATGAAAATAAATTTTCAACTCCAGTAAGACTGTAGTAATAGTGGCACACAACAAAGGCCTAAACTATATTTTCAAAATTTTTTGATTATGCAGTTATTGTAAATATGCACCATAATGCAGTTAATATATTAAATAAATTGTCAGACATCTTTCTAATTCTTGATAAGCGCTGTAAGGACGGAAATTTACAACAAATTTTCGCCTACATAAAACATGACTATATTTAAACATTACATACTTAATATAGCACGTACTGGGAATGAATGTTGCAAATGTCCGAAATTAAAATAGATTAGGATAGGATAGGATAGAAATAAACGATGCGGAGCACTGCGACCATGATTGACACTTCGTTCGACACTTGCGAATTTTATATAGATTCCTCAATGCCTCTGGTGTATAGAGTGGGATCCAATACCTCTTCTCTAATTACGTTAATAAATGTGGGTTTGTTACCTTCATTAGCTATAATTGATCCAAGACACATAATATATTCTAATTAGCTGCCGCCCAGTAGACTTGAAATTAGCTGTTGGACTTTCGATGATGGAACGGTTTCTTCTTCACCTGGGCAGTAGGCAGAGGCCATGACTATCCTATTGTTGAAACTTCAACTAGAACCGCTGCTAGGTCTCTAGAAATAAAGTTAGTTAACGGAAGATGTTTTACGTCTCCACAGATTATGATAGCTGCACGTGGCACTACTATCGATCGGTCATACACCAGCTTACCTGATTTTGAGTTTAGTCCCCGAAAAAACCCACCCTAGCACGAGAATAATTGCAGCACGCACTCGCAGTCCATCCAAGTGATCTGCAATTACATTGAAATAAAATATAATTAAATAAATAAATATTATTATAATAATAATGATTGATTGTATTCCGTCTACCGTAAATGATATAAACTTGCAGAATATATACGTACATCAAGAAACATTAATACAAATCATATACATAAATACATATGTTCTTTCTTAAATACATATGTTTTCTTCCTTTAGAAAACACCTAAGTCAAGCGAAGAAAATCATTACGTTCGATCGCATGACGGCTCTTGAGTACGCATAGTTCATGCGTCCGATTATTCAGACGAATAGCACAAATTCTAAACACATTGCGTTGAATCTGTAGACCAAGGAAACTTTGAACCAATAAATACATATCTCCGGATCACTTGGAAGAGACGACCATCGTTTTTTAGTTTATACATTCATGTAAAATAAGCTAAACTTTTCATAATATTTATTGACGACTCAACATTATTTAATTGTACTAAATAATAAAATATAATATAAAGCAAAAGCGAATCTTTGAATATTTTGGTTAAAAATTTTATTGTAACGATTTTCGAGAAGCAGAGGATATCCCAGCAAATAGAAACGACCTCGAGAAAGTGTCGTTATAGAGCCTATTAAATTTGTCGTCTGCATGGGTTAAGCCTAATAGGGGCGCAAATTTGCACAAAATTCTCTCCTTCATAAACATCACAGTAAATTACGTTTAAACACTAAATACAAAATATTCACTCGCGTACAATTGAAGTTTTGTTCAAAATTCTTGATTGTTGTTTTGTTCTCAAATTAAATAAATTAATTTGTATTAAATAAATTTATTATAAGTTACTCACCGAAAATCACTCCGCAGCTACATAATTGTATCAGTTTAAAATAATATAAAATTAATTTAAACAAAATTTTTAATAAAGAAATATATTATATTTATTTCTATTAATGTGTAATATTTATTTTATTTATTATTGTAAAATTTATTTTAGAAACACCGCCGAAAAGTCACAGCATAAAAAAAGCATCAAACGTCAAAGTTTTCGCCGTGACAGGTATGTTGTGATGTTGCAGTCACTTCTCGAATGGTAAATAACGATCAGCGTTGTAATATTTTAGTAATATTTTACTAATATTTTGATAAACATATATTAGGTTATTTGTATTTTGATTCTGAATATATAAATAAGTGCTAATTTAAAATATAATAGAAAGTGAGGAAATGAGTTATATCGATGTGTGTATATTATATTTTTATTATATGTATATCAATTCTTAAAAATTTAAACATCTATATAAAAAACGTTAAATATTGGCGAGAAATACGTAATATGAAAATTCAAAACAGTTTAAATTTCCCTCGAAAACTTGAACAATATAACAAATACATAAAATACAAATGTGCGTAAAAATACATGTATAATCCTTTGATTTTATTGACAATAAACTTTAAAGTAATGACCGCGACCATATAAAGACCATGTAAAACCATTGACCATATAAAAATTAATTTTTAATTTTTAAAAATGATGATTCCTTCGAAATACTATTGGTGTTCGAGAAGGAAGATTTGCAAAAAACCACCAAGCTGTCGCACTATTATTTCTCCAGAGGAATAACTGTGTGAGAACATACAATGTTTAGCCACTGGGAAAAGCTTCAAAATATTGAAATACAAATTAAGAATATCGCATTTATACTAAGTATATTATATTCCTAAACTTATAATGCAATATGGGAAAACACGAAGCATCTGTATGTAAAGCTAAAGTAAGTATTCGTTTTGATGACACAAATTTTATAACAAATTAATTAATTTACATTAAGTAACATTTACTTACTTACGGTTTATTTAGTTTATAATTAATAAATAACAACATGTTTAACAAAGCATTTGTACTCTCAAATGTATCAATTATAAAGATGCTTTACTTTCTGAGTGAGGTTTCACAAAAACACAAATTTTCTCTGTGTTAAATACAAAGTGTTACCGTTACATGGATTATAGTAATTAAGATTATCTAGAAAAGAAATAAATTAGTATCACATCAAAAATTCCACTACATACCTGGTAATAACCCCTTGGTTATTATAGTTATTAAGGCCGTGTGCGAGTTCGAGTAAATTGATAGTAAATTGAGTGAATTAATAAACTATGTCGGTATGGCTGCGAATGTTGGTATTTACCAGAATTTCGAGTAGTATAACTTAGATAAAAATTAGGTAAATTAGGCGTTACCATTGTGAAAATTTTATAAGATGTTTAATAAATAAATAAATAAATTTGAAAATTTTTGACCAAAAATAATAAATAATTGCAATAAATAAATAAATAAATATTTACATAAGTACAGTGTAAAAAAACTCTAGAAAATTTTTATTTACTTTACCTCAATTTACTCCCACTCCAACTCGCACATTAGCATTTTATGTTAATCTATTTTTGATCGAATGCACATAGACAATTTCGAAAATTCTATTTTACATGAAAAGCATCCACGCGTGCTTAGGATTGGGAAGTATCAAATAAAATGTATATATGCAGGTTGTCCCAAACAACCTCTCAAGTTTAGGATATTTAATTTACTGTAGTAAATCGGACTTTAAATTATGACGCTAATAATTGTATTAGTTAAATAACTTAGAAAAAATTTAAATTTCAATTAAGTTGATTAAATAATATCACTTAAAAACATTATGCTTACATCAATGTTACAGTCAATCTTGTTACAGCATCCCTTGCTACCCAATTTGAATATTTGCTTAGTACATGATTGATAATATCTCTAACCCACTTTTTTTTTACATTATTTTTTTTCTCATTATTATTATATGCTTTTATTATGTTAAAATGTACTGCCGAAAGAATTAAAAATCTTTCATAAATGTATTAATACAAATTTTAAAATGAATTAAATAATTTTTGCTTATAATAAAAATAATAAACTTAAATATAGTTTGTGAATTCAAAATATTGCAATCTAGCACTTTGAACATATGAATAAAAGTACAGCTAGAAAAAAACAAAATTATTTTCTTAAAAGTTTAAGCTAATTCTGTTTTTTAAATATAAGATTTTGTTCACATTTTCATGAGAAACTGAAAATATAAAAGAAAAAACATATTGTTTATGTATTATGCATTGCAGTCAAAATATTATTTTTTTTTATTAAATAATGCCGTGTTTAAATTACGAACTTTCGTTAACGAACTTTGCTGAAGCTGATTTAGTGTTAAATTATCGTTTCAGGTTTTCATTTCGATAAAAGTCACATATTTTAACATATTGTTGAGCAATCAGCTGTAAACGTTATTATGAAAATCTTGTTTGTTACTTATAAATAAATATTGTAAAACTTATTTTTTAAAAAAATTAAATCAACTGAATAAAAATGCAGATTATTTATAGAATTTTGAAGTCTTTCGTTTGGTATATAAACATTAGATCTCTGATGCGTATTTTTCAAATCATACAAAAAAAATAATTAGCAAAAAAAGTTTATTTTTAGAAAAATCTAGAAATGGTAACAATTTGTACGCAAATATTTCTAATACAGGAATAATTAAAGCAATAAAAAACACAAATTTGAGTAGTACACTTTTGTGAAATCTAAAGTCAAAGTCAAGCTTATAAATTCGGCAATATTTCAACTCAAATATTGAAATATCTCCGAAAAAATTTAACTCATAAATCATTTTTTAAAATTTATTTATAAATAACAACCCAGCTTCCATTGAAAAATTACTAACTTGGCACTAGCAACATATTATTTTAAAAATCTGCCAATTTGCCATTTTTATACAAAAAACTTATCGATAACGCATTAAATTTAGCACTGTATTCTGAAAAAGGTATTAAATAAAATAAACTTTCAGTTAAAGTTCGAAGTTTGTTGATCCTATTTATAACGGGTGTTGTTTTGCGCTCAAAGTCGATTTCCAACAGAAAATCTTGTAATGTAAACCCCATATAAAATAGATAAAATAGCAACTAGGAAGTTCCACAATTTTCTACAATAAATTTTATAGCAACTACTTCAACTACTTCAGCTACTACAGCTACTAATTACTTTCAGTAACACCCCTGTTTTCATTTGCTTTCATTTTGAAAGTTATGTTGGCTCTGCTTTTGAAGTCAGCTGTTTTTGACTTTTGGGTTTGTGGAATCTAATTTATTGCAGATAAGCTAGCTGTTAAAGTTTGTTTATTGTTTAAACTGTTTCACATTAAACTTGTAAAGAATATAATTAATTTTTTTTACGTTTCTATAAGTAATTATTAAGTTGTCTATTTTGTAAACAAAATGGAAGGACAAGCGTGCCCACGTTGTAAAACAACAAAATACCGGAATCCTTCTTTGAAGCTTATGGTCAATGTGTGTGGACATACATTATGCGAATCTTGCGTAGACTTGCTCTTTTTAAAAGGGTCTGGCTCATGCCCAGAATGTATGGTACCATTAAGACGTAACAATTTCAGAATACAGCTCTTCGAAGACCCGCAGGTAGAAAAAGAAGTTGATATACGAAGACGTATACTACGTGATTACAATAAGAGAGAAGATGACTTCGAAACACTAGATGATTATAACGATTATTTGGAAGAAATTGAAAACATTATATATAATCTTGCTAACAATATTGATATAATTAATACAAATAAGCGCATCGAAACATATAAACGTGAAAATAGGGAAATAATACAACGAAATAAAACACGTGTTGGTCGTGAGGAAATAGAATTGACGGAGTTGATTGAAATTGAACGCGTCCAGGAAGAGACGAGACGACAGGAATTAGTTGCGCTTGAAGCTGAGCAAAAAAAGAAGAAAGTCCGTGATAAGGAGGCAATGATAGACGAGCTTATGTTTAGCGGTAAGAATGCAACGGAAATTGTAAATGAGTATGCGGAAAAAGCGGAAAAATTACGAGAAGAGCAAAAAAAGGTTCCACCTCCTGTGCAATTTTCTAGTGGTGTAAAGTTCGGTCGTGACAAAGATCAAGTTTATTTGCCAGTTCCAAAAGCCGAAGAGGGTCCTTTATACGTTCATGTTTTACCAAAGTTATATATGCTCGGTCCAACTCCTCCAACTGTTGATGATATACAAAAAAAGAATTACTTAGCTCATATACGCCAGGAAACTACGGCAGAACGCGCAGGTGGTTATCGTGCTAACTTGGCTTGCCAACGGGCGCTACAAGAAGCTTATATGGGGTTGTACTTTAGTAGTGCAGATATGTAATATAAAATCTAAAAATTCCTAATGCTTTAATGTATTTATGCAGTTCATAATTAAGAAATTTAAGTATTTTAAATAAAAATAATTGTAAGCGCTAAACTTTTGTGATATTAATTGTTAAATTTAATCAAATTATTTCTATTCGATTACATATTATGGAATATTTTAACTTCATAGCAACAAATTTATACTGAACCACCTTGTATTACCAAAACAAACTGTAAATCAATTAATGTTGTTGCTGTTATGGCTTGCGTTGGAAGAGGTGAGCGTTTCTTTGACATTTGAAAATACAAGTTGGTTCGAGAAGTAAACCCAAGCGTTCCTGAAAGAAACTTGGTTATCCGTGGTCATCGAACATCACAAATTTAATATTAATCGAAAGACGCTGACAACGTTATCATATATGTAAAATATATTTATTCTATATTAAAACAGCATTTAATATATATATATTAAATGCTGAATTATTGTCAGTTTTGAAATTCCAAAAGAGTTATAAATTTTTGCTAATTGCTATTGCTTGCTTAATTTTGAAAGGACATTCATAAAACTAAGGATAATATCAAATATCATCTATAAATCCAAACTGCACAGACAAACTATGTTAAGGAATGCCATAAAATATTATTACCTAAATTCTGAGTTCAGGATTGTGTTCAGGCTAATAATTTAGTTAATTTTAAAAGTAGGTAACCTAAGCCATTAACCCTGCTATAACTATTTTTTATACTCTCAAAAGTATATTTCCATATTTTTCGATAATAATAATTCATAAAAAGTATTATTATTAGAAAATTAACTAGAAAATTAGCATCATTTAAACATTCTTAAATAGTCAAATTGCACTTTAACCCACACAACCATGGTTAAAATGATGTAGGCAACTCTTGAATCAGGAACATATAAACCGCAAGAACTTTCTTTATATAGGAATGACCAAATTACTAGGAAGGGGACTTGTTAACGAGAGCCCTAAAGTATTGCAACGGACGCTCATATATTAATAAGGACACTGATGTAACGCCGGTGTCACAGGCGATTATATATATCCTAACAGACTGCTTTACCATTGAACCTATCCTCTTTATAACAGGCCTGACGTAACGCAACGAACCTATCGGCGGTTATATGCATCTGATATACTGATTTAACCTAAACATCTTAATAAGAATCCTTATGTAACACAACGAACTTATAGCCGGTTAAGTGGAACCTGATATATTTATTGATTCCCATATTTAACATCTTAACGAAAGCTTTGACATTACTCAACAGGGTCATTACTTTATGTGAAATTTGATATGCCTATTAAGCCTTAAACCTAACATCTCATTAAGAGTACTGATTTAACGCAATACCATAGTATCTCTGATGTAACGCAGCAGGAGTTCTGATGATTTACTGCAAGGCTGTCCAGAGCAGATGCGATCGCGGACCAATACAAACACTGTACAGATTGAAGGGCCGCAAAAATAAATACTTACGTTCATAGTTGTTTTCAACAAAAATAAAAATACGGTTGTTTTAAATTTATTTTTCTTAATTTATGAAATTAAATTAAATTCACTTTGTGGTATACTAATAAAAATAAAATAATGTAGTTTTATCAGTACACGAAAAGAAAATTTGCGTAACTGTGCTAGATTAAAAACATGTCGCAGGCCGTGCTTTGTACGGCCCTGATATACTGACACATCTTTGAACAAACATATTAACAATAGCTTTAAACTAACTCTACGAACTCATGAGCGGTTTATGTGGAATCCAATATAATGATTCACCTTTAAATTATAGTAAGAGCCGTGACTAAACCCAATTTACCCATACAACCAAAATTTTTTTTGATATAGTGATTAATCCGTAAACTGAATATCTTAATAGAAGTCTTAATGTGACGCAACGGTATCTCTGGTGTAACGCAACAGAAGCCTTGGTAATATATTGATACACCGTTGAATCGAATATCTTAAGAATAGTCTTGAACTAATGTATGCATATCGGTCTCTGTGGTATCTGACATACTGATTTATTCTTAAGCCTAACATTATAATAAAAGCCGTGCTAAAACGCAATGGACTCAATTAGTTCCGATTAACAAACAAAAGCGGAATTTGATAAGGTGATAAGATACTGATTGCTATCTTAATAAGAATCCGGCTGTAGTGTACCTAACATCTTAATAATAGGCTTAAAGAAACGCATCTTTTGTGCTACTGTCGATAAGCTATAAACTATGTGGAATCTGATATGCTAATTTACCCTTAACATAACTTAATTGTTAATTCACCTTCAACATAATTTATTTTAATAATTTTTACATTACGAATCGTTTGTGTTTTTTTATTATCTTATAGGTAATATATGCTGGTTCAGAGGAGTGTGTGTTTAATGCTTACTTCAAAACAATTCAAATACATTGTTGTTTATACATATATATGTATATATATTTATTTAATTATATCGAATACTTTTTTAAATATTAGTTATTTTAATATATAATCAATTATATATAAACTGTCATTTTTATACAAATTCACATGTCATAGTTTAAATCTATTTACTTATTAATATGAAATTTATAGTACTTTCGGTATGAGGTAAAAAGGTAAGAATTGGCCAAAACATATTTAAAAAGGTAAATGTAAAAAAAATATGATGAAAACCAAAGCGTTTAGAAAGTAAATATAAGTAAATAAATTTAAAATATTAATATAATTAACCTAACACTAAGTATTTAAGTTAACATTGCATTTATGAGTAAACCACTTAGGCTGGCTTACACTATAAAATATTCACAATCGTTTTTTATAACATATGTGCATGCGTCTTAAAAATAAAAAAAAAATAATAATTTATAAATAAGAATAAAAAATATTCTAAGCACTTGAAATTATGTACAATTAAAATAATAACACATTCATTTAACACGAACTAAAGTCAATTCGCTTCTAAAGTTAATCAAAATTACTATAAAAATAATAAATTTATGCTTTTATGCTAGAGATAATGTTTGAAAATATTTTATAACATAAAATGCCTTTAATTTTTTTTTAAGGCCAATTACATATTTGTTTATTTCTTTTTTTGACACTACTGTAATTTAAAAAAGTTTAAACAGTCAGGAATGTTCTTGATTTGTTTTTTTTTTAAATAATTATAAACTTCTCTAAATTTAATTACTGAATTGTCTTCAACAATTTTTACAAAATCCTCGATTCCTTACTTAAGGTTTTAAAAAAAATTACATAGCATTTCTTTGCTCTAAGTTTGAGATACAATTGTTGAAAAGTCAAATATGAAACATTTTTAAAGGAATTGCTTAAAAATATATTTCAGTATTGAAGTTTAATATATTATAAAATTGGTAAATAAACATCAAAGTTTTGCCAATTTTTTAAAAAATAAATTTTTCCTACTCTTGATGTGTTTGAGGGGTTTTTTTATTTCTAGCCAAAGTACCGATAGCGATTGTTGTAGAGAAGATTTTAAAATTTTGAGGTACTTGACAGTATGCCACTCACACTAGACAGAGTCATCTGTAAGTAAAAAAAAATGTTAATTAATTATATTTGAAATATTATGGAAAATATAAAGGAAATACGCACCATGGTACCACCACTTGGTCTTCTTTGGATTTTTGTTGCAGGTTTTGACATAGAGTGTGTTATCTGGCGGACGTTTCTTTTCGCGGCAGCTACTCAGCATGGAGGCAATACTTAAGCACACAGATTGAACTGATAACGCTGGTGACCAATCATCAGTAAGAATAGAGAGGCAAATGTGACCATTTGAATAGACGTGAGGATGAACAGGTATATTATTTCCAACAAATGTTACCTAAAATATGCATTTTTTGAAAATTTTATTATTAAAGCAATGTATAATAATTAATATGAAATATAGAATCAACAGTTTAAATACACCTAATATATAGTATAGTGTAGTATATTAACTGTTTTTATTTTTGCAATTACAGGTCCTATTCACACTAGCGACAGCTTGACGCTTGAAAATACTTTAATTGGCTAATAATAATAGTGCTTATGAAAAAATAAATCAATTTTCGTTGACAAATACGTGGGTTAGGATGTGAATGAGTAATAGTTGTGTGAAAGGGGAGAAAATTGTAAGGCAGTACAGTTCGATTAAGGGATGGGTCAGAAAGTTTGTATGTACGTTGGTGCAAGAAATCAGATGGGCAACCATTGAAGATGTATAATCCTACACTCCTTTCCCTCTCTTCTTCAGGAACTCTGTTTTAAACATAAACTGCTGCATGTGTAAATATGCCTAAACAATTTTTAATGTTTTATTTCTATATGGACTAATTGTTCAGTTAATTAAAAAATACAATACAATTATTTTTTATTTATTTTCTATTCGAAATAAATCTGTTGCCAAAGATGATAATTAAAAATATTATATTAATAAATTATTTTTTAAACAGATAATTCAGTTATTTTGGATAATCTCTGAGGAACTAATATTTCCCGTAGGTAATTATCAATGATCGATTAAATATCGGTATAAAATAAAAATTAAATAACAATAAAAATATTTATCGTTTAATTAATTGACAAATGGTTTTGAAGCTCTATGCTCCACTGGGATTTAAAGGAACAAAGAAGAAGAAAAAAGAATTTATAAAATACCCGATATATAAACATAATATTAAAGATATAAATAAAATTTTTAATAACTTACCTCTGGCGAATCGAAGGGATATTTGTTATTGAATTTAAATAGAAGCTCAAAACATTCTCCTTCATACAGTGTACCCTCAAAACCAGCAATTTGTATTTTCCACCTATGGATTTTTATTATATATCAGTGTTATTTATTATAGAGGGAATTGTTGTAAAATAATACTTACTCTGCCAAATTTTGTCCAACACTTTCCGTATCAACAGTCACGCCTGGTGGTGGTTCCTTAATTAAAGACATCAGCTCCTTGTGAAGTCGTCTCTGTAATAAAATAAAACAAACATTTTTAATTTTATGTAACATATTTAAATAATAAAATATATTAATATTTGTATTATATATAATTAAAGTACAAAAAATAAGTTTTTGCATCCTATGCTTCAATACAACTTTATTCTTGTGAAATTCTTTTTTCCTTTCAGGATATCGCTCAATAAATGCCAATTATTGATTTAATTAGCAAAAATGTCGTGTGAAAGCGATTTAAAGTTAGTTCTTGACAGCGATCTAATGTTTTGCTGTGTGAATAGCGTATGGGGGGTTTAGTTAAAACTATTATTAATGGGGGATATAACAATGGCACTTATTAAAAATTAGAGAACATATTGCAATTCTATTAAAAAAATTGGAAAACTTTAATACAAACATTTAAAGTTTACATTTGAAATAAGTAGATTCCAGAATTAATTTCATCAATTCATGCGATAGATGTCAGTTTTGTAAGAACTAAAAGTATGTAAAATCTAGTTTCATAATAAACTGCTTAATTGAAATTTCACAGGAATACTGTGAAGGTGGTATATTAAAAAGGACATCTGAGTTAGTAACAGAATAATTTAAACCAATATTACAAAGTTGCCGTTAAAAATGTATGAATACAAGTATCTTTTTCTAGAAAAAAATGTACTAATTCTTAGGAAAGCAAAAGGTGGAAACATTTCATGAAAGTTAAAACTCTTGAAAAAAGCAATATGGAATAGAGTATACGATATGTGTTAAAAGGAATGGTGGGATTTGAAACAGAATAAAAAACAAACTAAATCTATTAAATCTATAAATATTTTGTTATTTTTTTTATATAAATTAAAAATTGATTAAATACTTAAAACTATTAAGTATTAGAGTTCAAATGACCTACTAAGTTCTATTTAAATACCAAAATATAAAACTCGTAAATTGCAGAATTCTTATCCTCCTGTCATTCTATACTGACTGCAAAATATTTTGTATAAATTTTAATTATCATAAATAATGAACTTAATTATTGTCAAATGTTTTTTATTTTGTTTTCCATCTGCATATACTTTAAATAATCGATACGATATATCAATCATACTAGAACCTCTGTTGACAGACAGAGATATGATAATTTCACACTTGCAAAATACAAGGTTAATTTTGTATATTTAAGAACTTCATTTTATTATAAATAATTTCATAAATTGTTAAGTTTTTGTAAAGTTCTCATATATAATTTTATAACCAAAAGACGTCAGCAAAAATGTTTATAAATAATTGCAAAAGATAAGATTGTAAAAAAATGCTTAAAAAGCTAAAAATTTATGAGTTAAATGAAAATATTTTATTACTTAGAGAAAAGTGCAAAAATTAATATGATTACTTAAAAAATTACCCCAAAATTAAAATTTATAATGATGTTTCTTAACCTTTTTCATGCCCTACAAAAGTAAATCTTCAGTTCACATAATTTGTTTCGGCTTTTTAATACGATAATAAATATATCAATCAAAACATCAGTTGAATATAAAATAAGAATAAAAAATTTATAATTAAAGCTTTTAAAAACCAATAAATTCATAATAAAAAATGTATATATTAAAATTTATTTTGTCTCTATTTACTATATTGAAATTGAACAGAATCACAATAGTTCAAAAATTAAACTCAAATCTTAATTTAGAACTGGAACGCAACTATAACAAAATATCTCAAATTCAATTAAATTTAAAGTGCCTCTTATAAAAATACTATTGAACTATTTTTAGTAAATATGGTTCTTGAGATATCTAAAGCCGGAGATTAATGTTATACTTGAAAAATAGGACATGCTAAAAGTAAAACAGAGAGCTACAGGATTAAAATATATACTTGACTACTGTATAAAATTCTTTTTATTAGTTATAATATTCTTACTGTTCAGTGTTATTTTTTGCACTGACATATAAGGGTTTCTCACTCTGCCTTGCAAAGTCAAGTCATTGCAAGATGCACGAAATGCAAAAATGCTATACTAAAATGGCGAGAGTGCGAAAACACACCTCTGCTGCATACTACATTCACATGAGAAGCAACAGATGTCTAAACATGTCTTTGCAAGCATATATACATGGGTTAAAGTATAGTAAGATTGCAAGCAATTGCAAGAAAGGTTTTTCGTATAATTTCTTACTGTCCATTGACAGCTCGCGCAGTCTATATATGTCGTGCATCTTGCAATGAATTTGCAAGACAGAGCGAATAACCCTATTATATATATAATGTAATATATTCTGTATACATTATTATTTATTCTATATATCCATTCTACATACATTTTAAACGTTCTTTATATATTCTAAAATATGGTGTATACATTCTCATATATATATATATATATATATATTCAATGGGACATTATTATATACGTCCTTACCATATACGTGCTTACCATATACGTCCTTAGATATTCTATATATATTATTTTTATTACATTATTTTGCATTTATATATACAATACAGATTTCCGTAGTGTCTTATACTGAATGTACTGATTTAAATAAAAGGTGTGTATTTTATTTAAAATATATGTTATCTGACACAAATAATTAAGTATTATAATTAATATATATATATATATAAGAAATAAATAAACCCGTTCAGTCTATTAAGCCAGAAAGCTTAACATGAAATATTTGAAATAATTCGATAAAATTACAAATAAACAAGAAATATAAAAAAGTAATAAAGACAAATATAATGCGAAGTTGGTTTGAATTACAATATACATTATAAAAGAACGCTTTTGAACCTTTGTTTGAGTGCCCTGAGTGCAAAAACTGTATTTTGCAAGTATCTACGTGCTTACTTTTCTATTAATCAGTAAAAACAATGAGTTGTGTACAGTATGAACAAAATAATTTTCATACTATACTCATATAAGAGTATTGATTTTAGATAGATAAGATATCAATAACTGATTGCTAATCAGCTTTGGGAAAATTGAACTCCTAAAAATCTACAAAATATCATGTTCTATGATTTAACAGTCATAGACTCAAACAAAGTCAAATGAGAAAGTAAGAAATTAAAAAAAATAGTTTTTTTATAATTACAATCGTATGTATGAAATATTCGTAGAATTGTTTATATTTTATTGTCCTATTTTAATTGTTTATTTTTGTCATCTGAAAACAATACAAATCTTACGCCACTAAATACAACATGGTATCATACGATTATGTCATAAATATCACAATACTATCCTTATCAGACAGTCTGTTTATTATTTTACTATCCTCTCTATCTAATTTTATCTCTATTATTTTTTTAAATACAATTATACCAACTAGCAGAGAAGCCCTAGTAGCTAAAATCGTATCGTGCCGTGATGATTAATCATCATGTTTCATTTAATTAATAAATAAATAATATTTTTATATTTATATTTAGTTTTTTTGTAAATATTACAATTTTTTTTTAGTATTTTTATTAGTTCTTAGTTAGTATTTTTATCTATAAATTAGAATTTAATATATTATAACTGATGAAAAAAAAATATTGGTAGAACTTAGTTGGGTCACAAATATAATTATATTTTTCATGATTAATTTTTTTTTTTTTTGCAATAATTAATTATTTATAACAATTATAATATACATTTTTTAAAAGAAACTTATTTACATATATTTTACATTCAAATTTTATATATACATATATACAAATACAGATGATAGATCCACATAGTATTTTAAAAAATTAAAAAAAAAAGGTTCTTTTACTCTTAATAGATTCTATTAAAAACATTTTTATATTGTTTTTTTTTTTTAAATTATTAATAATTTATAACACATATAATATGCATTTTTTAAAAGAAATTTATTTACATATATTTTATATTCAAATTTTATATATATGTATACAAATACAGATGATAGATCTATATAGTATTTTAAAATATAAAAACAAAGGTTCTCTTACTAGATTCTATTAAAAACCTCAGACCTCCAAATAATTAAAAATTAGTTATTATTATTATTATTATTTAACAAATACATAATGTAAGAAAAAGAAATGATATATGATTGAATTTATTTAGTATATTGTAGAATGATCTACCCACACACTAACTATATTAACTGTACATCAATAAAATACCTCAGTGGGAATCTGAATAATTAATAAGTAATTAAAAATTTAATATATCACTGATATTATTCAGATATATATTGCAGAATGATCAAGTAAGAACTTTTTATCGCTATATTAGAAAAAAATAATAGTTTACTATCTCTCTTCCTCGCTTATGTTTAGCTATAAAATACTTTAAATTATACACGCAAAGAAGGGCACCACTGCTATTATCACATTTTGCTTAATTTTAAAAAATATTTTTTTGTTTTATATTCTCATGTCTAAATATAAAAATAATTTTTTAATTATAAAGTTTCATTGAAAAATACTTTATAGTTTTTTGCTGAATCTTAACCTTATATTTTATTTAAATTTTTTTAATAAATTTAAAAATGTTTTTTTGTTTATATAGCGTTTTTTTAATACTTGCCTCCCAGCGATGGTTGTCTAGTACTAAAGGTTTTCCACATTTTGTAGTAGTCGACTTCGTCGGTATATTTGTTTCAGTGATAATTTCCGATTTAGTCGGTTTGTCTTTTTTATTTTTAAAAATTTTTAACATATTTGCTGTATTTGTTTTTATTTATTTATGCTTAAGTTTATAAATTTAATTTTTTTTTGTTTATTTTTAAAATTTTCTTTTCAAAGTTTTTAACACATTTTTATTGATCTTTTCAGACCCTCTTTTGGTTTTTAATGTACTATGAACTTTACACTTTCTTCGGTCAAAATTTACACTTCACCGACACCTCAGGAAGTTCCCTTTAGTCGCAATGTAACGTTTTAGGCGCCGTGTAAATTTCGAATGTATTTTCTGTATAAATTTCCGCTTCGAAGAAGTCTACTGGCTTCTAAAATTGCGATAATTTGTACTCAGCCGTGAGAGTAATTTTACAATTTTTCCGTTACTGGCAAAAATAAAGTAAATAAAAAATGCGATATGAAGTAAAAGCTTTTCATAAAAAGGCAATTATTTTTAAGTGTACGAAGTGGAAGTGGGGAAGTGAAAGTACATAATGCTCTGATATATATTTTTACTACACATTTATATTCTTTCTGCTTCGATAAGATTGCAAAATGAGACAAGCGTTTACTAGCTTTTAATTAAGGAGTAGACTTCTGCTGCTGTTGTACTGTTATCTGTTGTTTTCATTCAATAGTACGAACCCCTTTCACTGAAAATTTTTCAAAGGGAGTACCAATCAACTGATCGATAAGTCTACCTCCATACACATACGCATATAGTATAGACCATTTGTTGGTCTAAGCAATTTTATCGCAATTTTTTTCATTTTTTAATTTGTTTGCATTGCAAGCAAAATGAAAAAACAAGTTATTAAACAATTAAGTTCTTATCAGATAAATGCGCAAAATAAACTGATAAATAAATTTAAACATTTATCGACCTGTTATACTACTTTCAGACTGCTAAAAATAATTCAATAAAAATAATAATAACTTTAACTGTTAGTATTAAATGCCAAAAGCTGCGATGCTAGAGAAACAAAATTGTTAAAACACATTTGAAATAATCTATGTCACTACTTCTTAGTCCAAAACTTACTGTAGATTGAAGATATAATATATATAACGCCGATACATATACATTTCCACAAACTCATACC